AGCCTACGTAATCGCCGGCGACTCAAGGCAGCCCAGCTCCAGGTTGAGCTGTTGTTCAGCATCTTAGCTGTAGAGGGTAGTGTCACTGGCCCTCATATGTGGGATCCGAACCGGGGCCCTCTGGCGTCCCAAGCCAGTTCTTAACCATTGCGCCACTCGGCCGGCCCCGCAGATATCTTTATTTTAAACATTTAGCCTCCAGAACTTTGAGAGAATAAATTTATGTATTATAGTTTTTTTGTTTTGTTTTTATATGTATTATAGTTTTAAGTTACCCAGTTTGTAGTCATTTTTCACAGCAGCCTCAGGAAACTAATACAGAAAGTGTTTCCTCTTTTTTTATTCTCCAAAATATTTGTGTAAAATAAGCATAATATTTTCCTTGACTTTTCAGTAAGAGCTTGCTGATGAAATCATCTGGGGCTGGAATTTACTTTTGTGAGGGTTTTTTTTTTATTATTCTGATTCAATTTCTTTAATAGTTATAGAACTATTTGAGTTTTCCATTTCTTCTTGAGTCAGTTTTGGTAGGCTATCGTCTTCTATTTGTTCATAATATCTTCATTATCTTTGTTAATCGCTACAGTATCTGCAATGATATCCTTTTTGTGATTTCTTATATACATTGTTTTTCTGCCTCTTTTTTTTCTTGATCAATCTCTCCAGAGGTTTGTCAATTTTATTAGTCTTTCAAAGAATTAATTTTTGACATTGTTGATCCTCTTGATTCACATTTATTTTTTTTATCTCATTCATTTCTCCTCTATTATTTCCTCCCTTCTACTTCATTTGGTCTGTTTTACTGTTTGTTTGTTTTGTTAGTTCCTTGATACAGATGTTTAGCTCATTATAGTTCAGTCTTTTTTCTTTCCTGATATATATAAGGCTATAAATTTTCTAAGTTTTGTTTTAGCTGCATTTGTCAAGTTACACATGTTGTTTTCATTATCATTCAATTAAAAATATTTTCTAAATTCTACTATAATTTATGCTTTGACTCAAAGGTTATTAAGAAATTAATTTCATTTCTAAACATAAGAGAATTTCCAATTATATTTTTGTTATTGATTTCTAGTTTAATTGCATTGTTGTCAGATAACATATTTTAAACAAAATTTATTGAGATAAGCTTTCATGGTCCAGTATCTGGTCAATTTTTGTAAATGTTGCAGATTTAAGAAGAATGTGTATTTTGCAATTGTTGGGTACATTGTTCTATATAAATACATTAAGTCAAATCTGATAATTCCTAATGCTTTCTAGGAGAATACTTTTTTCTGCCCTGAACTCTAACTACATTCTTTCTCTTCTGTCTCCTTACTGACAAGGAAATATCAAGTTCTCCATAACCCTGATCCCTCTCTGCACATGCCTTAAAGTCATCATCTTGGGCTTCCCACTTAAGTTTTCAAATAGTTGAGTAAGCCATTTAATAGCTGGTTAATGTTTGGCATATCATTTTAATCTTTCTCAGGCTCAGCCTTCTCATCTGTAAATAGAGATTATAGGAGTTACTAAGGATAAAAAGATAATAAGTGTACAAATACTACTATTTTCATTATTAATAAATAAACTATACAGTGCTGGTACATAGCAGGGAAGATATATAATTATTATTATGATGACCATTTTTATATTTATTTATTGTCATGATTCTAATATCTATTTCTTCTCAGGCTACCATTAACATACATGAAATTCCTCTGGCTGCAGTAAGATTACATAGGCCCTCATATCCATGTGACTGTGTCAAAGGATATAATATATTCATTTGGGAAAAGAGGAAAGGTGTCACAAATACCACTGAATCACCATTTCAGACACTTTTGCTATATTTTGTCAATATGTTTGCATCTTCACAGAATAACCCAATAAAGAGTGGCACGGTTACTGAGATAGGTGTTTATCAAAAGAAAAATGAACTCCATTTCAAGACTTTGTGTGAAATAAAGAATAATATTTATTAAACATCTTCTCTATGCAGGCTCTGTGCTAGAGGCTTTCAGATATGCTACTGCATTTAATCTCACAAAAATCCATTAAGATAGCTATTACTGTATCTACTTTATAAATAGAGAAATTGAAGTTCAGGAAATTAAAGGAACTTGCTCAAGTTCACATAGAATGAAGATAATATACAGAGCAGGTGTGTACCAGCAGGTGTATACTAGCGGATATAATAGCCATCAAGCCTGCACCCAAATATCTTCCAAAGGTCCAATCCAATATAAAAGAGAATAAGGTCAAGCTTTTCTCTGAGTCTCTCCTGTGATTCCTGTCTCTTTCTGTACAATGTTTCTCATTCTCACTCAAGTTTCCCATATCCATTACCAACACTAAGTATTACCCACAAGCACAGCTAATGTAGTACTGATCTTGGTCTGTGGCTGGATTCCAGAGATAACAAGAGAGGGTTAGACCCTAGTTACCTGCAGAGAATTTGCCATCTGCTCCACAAATCACAATGGCTTTTACTGTAGGGTCTGTTATAGCTTTCTGCAGTCCCTCTTTTATTCCACTGAGTACAGCCATACTAAAAGAAAAAAGTATAAATAGGAAGCATTAGTCAGAATTATATTTCTACCATCTCAGAATTTTTTCCTTTCTTAACAATGAAAAATTAAACACATATATAATGGATAAAAACCCTAGACACTTATCATTATGATTTCACTAACTTGTTCAACAAATAACATATGTATCTACTGTGCTGATTAAATTAATAAACTTTTTAAAAAACAGTATATTCCTGTACTTTGGTGCAATGTAAAACACTTATAGTTGGCACCAATTAACTTTAAAATATTATTGGATTGTCGGAAAAGTCATGACTCACGTTTGCGACAGATGGCACTAGTTCATTTTTGGAAGTAGTAAAGTCATTTGCATCTATGCTATTCCTATGTCATTTGACAGCTGACAGTTTTAGCTTCATTCTTAAAAAAAATTGAGTGATTTGGTTGAGCTTTGGAGATTTTACAACAAGTTGAAGATGGAAGACCAAACTGCATTTTTGCCATATTTTACTGTTTTACTCCCATAAAGGGAAGAATGCACATCAAGCTTGTGAAAAGTTGCATAAAGTTTACCGTGACAACGCTCTACAAGAACGTCAGTGCCAATGATGGTTCATGAAATTCCATGCTGGTGATTTTGATCTCAACGACGCTCCTTGGTCAGCGAGGCCCACCGAGATTGATGACAACAAAATAAAGACATTGCGAGTCAAACCCACATTACACGACACGAGAGATTGCAGAAACATTGAACATCCATCATTCAAGGCTTCACAACCACCTGAAGAAGCTGGAATACGTAGGCAAGCTCAATATTTGGGTTCCGCATGAACTCAAAGAAGTTCATTTGACAGCGCATATAAACATCTGCAATATGCTCATTAAACATGAGGAAAACGATCCTTTCTTGAAGAGACTGATAACTGGTGATGAGAAGTGGATTGTTGACAACAATGTGGTGCACAAATGGTCTTGGTCCCGACGTGATGATTCGCCTCAAATGACATTGAAAGCAGACATTCATCAGAGGAAGGTTATGCTCTCAGTGTGGTGGGATTTTAAAGGCGTCGTGTTTTTCAAGCTCCTACCAAGGAACCAAACAATCAATTCGAATGTGTACTGTCAGCAATTGGACAGTTTGAACAAATCCATCATCCAGAAACGTCCAGAGCTTGTTAATTGTAAAGGAGTTGTGNGGCCCTACTGCTTAGAGCTCGCACTCCCAAGTCAACTCTTAACCAACGAGCCACTCGGCCAGCCCCATACTTTTTTGCTTTTTCTAGCCTTACTGGGCTGACCAGGGCCTGTAATACAATGTCAAATACAAATACACCCAGCCTTGTCTTGTTTCTTTCTCATAAGGAAAGCTTTCAGTTTACCATTTTCTTTGATGTTTGCTGTAGGTTTTTTAAAGTAGATATTTTAGCCTGATTAAGACATTTCCTTTCTATATCTAGTTTACTAATAATTTTTATCTTTACTTCATTTCAAATGTTATCATTGCTTTTTCTACATCTCTTGAAATAATCATGATGGTTTCTCCTTTACGCTTTTAATAAGATGAGTTACACTGATCTTCTGATGTTTAACCAATCTGGTATTTCTGGGATAAAACTGGTATTACACTTTTATATATTGTTAGATTTAATTTTATAATATACTGCTTAAGATTTTATATCTATATTTACAAATGAAATTGGCCTGTAATTTTGTTTTTCATACTGTTCTTGACAGGTATTGATATCAAGGTTATGCTGGCCTCACAATATAAGTTGGGAAGTATGCTGTGTTGAATGATGTCTACCTAGAACCTGTGAATGTGACCTTATTTGGAAATAGGGTCTTTCTAAATGTATTCAAGCAAAGATGAGTCATAGTGGATTAGGGTGGATAAGATCAGGGAAATTTGGATATCAGGGAAAAGGCCACAGGAAGACAGAGATAGAGAGGGGAGTGATGCATCAAAATGCCGAGGATACCCAAGGATTGCTATCAACTACAAGAAGCCAAAAGAGGCAAGGAAGGATTCTCCTCTAGAGCCTTTGGAGAAAGAATGGCCTTGCAGATGTCTTTATTTTATTTTTATTTTATTTTTATTTTTTAAAGATTTTTATTGGGGAATTGGGGGGATGGGAACAGCGCTGGGGAATTGGGAAAGGGGAACAGACAAGTTGCTGTCTTTTTGTTCTTCAGTCTAGTTGTGGAGGACGTTGCTTCACTGGCCCAACTTGGCACT